TAAAGACGATCGTCTTTCTTGGGGACCTTCGACGGAAAAAGTTTGGTCTGTCTGTCTGGCTGTCTTTCTGAATATCTGTACATTTGTCTGTTTGTCCGCCCTTAACGATACCTCAAACGGCACCAAACGGCTGACACCATCCGCAACACCCACCAATATCGCTTAAGATTCAGCGTTCGTTGTTGTGCGATTGTCATATAAAAGGGAATTATTGCGCTTATCTGAGGCACCATAGCAACACGCCGATAATTTGTATGTCTGCCTGTTTGTCTGCAAAAGAAAAAGAGGTACACACAAGCATTTGAAACGTCACTAGTAAACGGTGCGAGAGTTTGTAAACTGTGCTTGAACGGCTCCAGAAGCGGTAATTTTGTCATGCGGTGTCCTCTACTACTAACTGCAGCATTTTCAAAGTGGTAGGAAGATTTGGAATATTCTACTTCACAGAAGCCGGAAAATGAACAGCTCGTGATGCGGATGTCCTCAAGCAGTCGTCAGTAATTGAGCAGATGTGATGTGCCTCTGAAACAGGTACTTTTTCTGTTCCTGTCGCCATTAACGGACAAAATAATAATGACATCTTAGACTCTCGAGCTGTGGAAAGCTTGATTACAGGACCAATTGTTGACAAAATAAGCATAAGGCCTTCGTCCCGACGTTTGGTGGGAGCAAACTGCCATCACCTACAAAATTTGCATCAACTCAGTGCTGTGGTGACAGTGGACGACCAACACTGCAGCATGACTTTGTTATTTTTGCCCAGTTACCTCACGAAGGATAAATGCTAGGCGATGGCTTCTTCCGGGCTTCAAGAGCAGTCATCGACTGGGGCTGGCAGAGCTTCGTGGTATTGGTCTCGTAAAGGCTACGCAAGGCCTACCTGATTAGGGAGAAACGACTGCCACCATTATCGGGGAAGTTAGTTTCGGTGGCCTGGCATCGCATGTCAGAAGGTGAAAACCATTTATTGGTCATCACAGGGACAAAGCTCTTGTATGACCGCTGTTCAGTCATAGTGGAATCCACGGCAACAGTTGCATCGGAAAATGCAACGAAGCTTTCGATCACGAACTATTCTTCTGAACCCGTCGTACTTCCATATCAGGTGACAATTGGCCTTATTGAAGAACCAAGCACAATTGAGGATATTTACCTTTCTGGAGAGGACTGCCAACAGATCCTCCAAATTTAATGCCTGCCATCTCCTGAGGCCCATGATGTGCCACTAGCTTATATGGTCGTCGATCCGTAGCATCATTGAATCGCAGTAGGAGACGTCAGCTTTAAAGAGCCACTCACCAGGCCCCATATCAATTTTAGTTATGCAGTTGAAGTTGTTGGGCGTCCAATGAGGAACATTTTGCCAGAAAATTTTTTTATTTGACTCATCACGGGCGGAGAAAACGGGTTTTTTGAAGCGGCGCGAAACAAGGATGAGAGAAGGCGAGATCGAAACCCTTGCCGCTCCTCCGCGTAGCCTTCGCAAGTCAAATCTCTTCCCCACCCTCTCAGGCACCGACAAAGAGCTCACGTGCGCATGACGTGACCTAACAAGTCCAACCTCCGAGTACGCTAGTGGCGTTGCATTGTTGACCAGCGTTATTTTTTGGTCTTCCGCGTGATTCTGTGGGATGGTTCTGTGGGATGGTTTGGAAACACTGGCTCAGACGCGGTAGAATAGTTGAGCACAATGAGTGCGCGAACACGTAGGAGCGTACCACGGTGGCCGTCGGCTCTGGGCACTGACCGCGTGTACGCGAAAGCATTCGAAACACTGACACATCAGCCCTGCATCTCGTTGTGAGGAGTTTGCATTATTGGGTGCTATGAAGTATATTAGGCATCTAAGAACCACCCTTTCCTATCCTCAGTCAAAAGAAGCGGTGGAATGAGCAGTCAGAGGATTCAAGGGCGGTCTTCAGAAATTGAAAGGCGGGAAGCTTGAACATAGTTTGATGCGTTTACTGGTCAATCACAGCAGACCCTATTGCAAAAATCGGCACCACTGGGTACCAGCGTCCAGCGCCATGCCTGATTATGGGCCCAGTATGGCGCTGGTACCAGCACCTTCCAGTTGCAGGTAGTGGGATGCTGGATCGTCCCAGTACTGTGCGCAAAATGGCTTCACAGGTTTGAAACGGTGGTGCCCATTTGCCATAAATAACTAATTATATATGTAAAATAGCGCGATTCATATTGAAAATAAAATAAATTAAAACTTCAAAAATAGGACGCCTTTTTTTATTGGATTCCAACCCGTCGCTTCCTGATTGTGAGCTAAGTATGCTAACCGCTACACCACGCTGCAACTTGCACAGGGGGCGGTAAAACGACAATTTATCCTTAAAACGCGCCGTTTGACTTCGTGTTTACAAGTCGTACACTCAAGATTGACGTGATATTTCTTTTCCAATAACAATTGCGTCTTGATTCGACCGTGACGAATGGCTTTTGGGCACCGAATGACGTGCGAATAACAGAAAGAACGGAAAGTTTGTTGAAGAATCCACATCTTAACTCTGAAAAATGTCAAATTGACTGGAGGAGCAGCCACAGATTGTCAGCTGTCGCTGCCGATTGTTTTTTTCTTTTTATAGTTGGTTCTCGCACTTGCTACTGCGCAGCATGTAAAGATTATTTAAATGTCTTGTTTGGTTTCCAACTAAAAATTGCGTGTTGTTACATATCAGTCAAACGTACCGGCTAAGTGCGGCCGACAGCTTTCGGTGACAGCCTGCGTAGCTGAAATCAATGTGGTTGAGCCATCGCAGTGGTTGAGCCATCGATGGCTCACAGTGGTTGAGCCATCGGCACAAGGAGCGCATCATCGGCGCTCCTTGTGCGAACATCAAAACAACACGAAATAGTTGATTCAGGTTTATAGATGTCTCAACTAAATTTTACAGTTATTCTCACACTTTATAGTTTTGTGTACACGAAGCAAGAAGCGCCGGTAGCATAAATACCAACGCGGCTGGCATTTCAGGTTTAATGCTCGCTGGGCCGGGCACTGGGTAAGACCACTCTCGACGCGGTGAGTTGGGATGGTTGAAGATTCTGCATTTGAGCTTCGGAACATTTCTAACTCTTACTTGAAGTAAGTAGAAGGATAAGCATGGACAGACATATATTTATGCGGTGTGGCATAATCGAATGAGAGTTTCTTTTCTCGTCTCCCGTGGGAAACCTGGCGAAGTGATCGAGAGAACTCATTTACGTTTCATCAGCTTTGTGGCAAAAACAATTTCCTGCTTCTGTTAAGAGCGGCGGGTATCTCCAGGCTAACAAACACTGCAACTTGGAATCGTTACAGCAATACACGGATGATGCGAATATGGCCGGTATACGTGGGGGCATATGCGAAAAAGATGAGTTATAATTGCTGCCATGTGCACGTGCTCAGTATGCTCGGTGTCTTTACGTATTATGTATGCTCGGTGTCTGCTAAGTAGCTTGGTAAATCACGTACGCTCGGTGTCTGTTACAGTAGCAACTCCCCGAGTCGTCAAATGAAGCATTTTATATTTACCGACACCGAAACATACCACGGCAGAGGCTACAATAACGTGCACGCTGCGCTGGTAGAAACAGTGCGTGCTCCAATACTCACCAGCGCTTGCCAGTGAAAATTCCAGCGCTTCCAGCGCTTCGCAGTGTGCACCAGAATCACAGTGGTTGAGCCAGTGCGACCCAGCTTTTCCCCAGTGCGTCCAGCGAAGTGCCAGTGATTACAAGCGTGTACTGTTGTCTCCAGCATGTACCAGCGCTAAAAAACGTACTGGCATCACGTTGTTTTTGCAATAAGGGAAATTCACATTAAGCCGGGTGGTCTTCATCCAATTGCTGCTAGGATACCAGATACGGTCGCCTCTGGACGCACGTGTTTTAATTGCGCCTACGCCCTCTAATAAAAAGGAAAGGTACGAGTTTATGCTGCCATGAATTGTGATGTGCATGTATGCAACTACAGGTTCAATGGTAAATGAATGCCAAGACGATTATCAGCCGCATCGGTTAGGCAGGTGGTCACAGTGAAGACTCCTCAAACAATCGTGCAGCGTCACATAGACCACGTGTGCACGCGTATAAGATTTTCACAAGACGAACGCTTGTGGACCGATTCATGCTCTACCAGCAAAAGCAGTGCGCTGAGTTTGACGCCGGTCGATTCCCAGCCAACCACGAACCCCGAAGAAGCTGTGAAAGCACATCCTTAAATTGAGCCCTGTCACCGACCAGCATGTGGGCGCTACAGTCCCAACACCCATGGCACCTGGGACAGATAAAACAACCACACAACTGCACCGGCGTTTGACAAGAACATGCAAGCGAGTGCGTCATTTATAAGTTGAAAGAAACGTGAAAGAAATTACGGTGCTAACCCTTCACGTTATCTGCGCGCTTTCATTGCGCGATCGCAAAGTCCATTTTTTTTTGTTTTCTATCACACAGTTCCCCTTTCCACTTTGCATACATACTTGTGTATATATATATATATATATATATATATATATATATATATATATATATATATATATATATATATATATATATATATATATAAATATATATATGCACTAAACTAAACGCTTTTCTGTTGTTCTCGGCTCACACGATATCTTCAACACATCTCCATATTTTTATGATTGCAGCTATAGGCTGCCAGCGCTTTGCAAAATATGTATGTGCCAATATCTTATTGGACCCAGTTTCAGTTCTGAATCGGAGGCAATTTGAGAAAGAGCTTCTCATTGGTTGCACAGCGATATATACAGTGATTATATGAGCGATATATACAGTTAATATACAGTGATTGTGGTTACGCATTGTGGCTTAAGTTACGCCAAAAAACCACAGTGGTTACACAGTTAGTAGAGGTTACTCCTGCGGCTTTATCGGTAAACTACCCATGAAATGATTGTCCTTTATGCCTACGTTCAGCTCCTTCTTATTATTTTCTCCCCATGGACATGACAAAGCTTTATTTGCATGTGACGCACCTGCAGAACGTAGAGCGTGTCACCTTCGAAAGCCCACTCCACGTCCCGCGGACCACTGAATGCACTCTCCATCTGCAAAGCGAGGAAATATGGCCACATTGATCTCACTCTCTTTAGGTCTCCTATAAAAAATCACACATTTACTTTAGTAGAAGGGTTATTCGGTAAAGAATAAGCAGACGTGAACCAGAGCAAATATACTCGTGTTCACAACAACTTACCTTCATACTATGCTATTATTTGAGTGTGCAGCGTCAAACTACAGGTTTTTTTTTTTTATTTCAAACAAAACCTTTTTCCTTTCCCTTATCTAATAAACTGATATTGAGCTGGCGTATGAGCGCTAGTGCATTGATGTTTGAGTAGACATAGTTATTACAAATGAAAGCGGACAGAAGGACAACAATAATACTGAAGTGGAGTACATATATCCCAAAACAGTGAGGAGCGCATTCATAGTTATTCAAGGTGAATACCTCGCCCCAACGGCTCTCTTGGACTCACACTCATCAACGTTTTTTCTTTCAACCACACACACTTGCACTCAGACTCACTAAAAACGTTCTTAGATTTCCTCTCGTTCAGACACACAAAAATATTACTCACCCGGACTCAATGATACTCAGGCGCACGACTCAATATCAGATTTAGTAAGTCTAAATGAGGCGACCTATGAGTTATTTTACTGATCTATGTTCGTTACGCAAGAAATATTGCAAAAGGGCGCTTTTTCTACGTTTTAAAGCTGAGAACGGTTCCTCGCATGAACTTCAACTTTCCCGTATGACATGACCTTGGGTGTACCCTAGCTAACTGGTTAATTTAACAAGGTTAATGTCTCCGCCAAATGATTTCTTTGCGCATCTTAAGGTGTCTACCCCTACAGAAAGACTCACTGGGATAAAGAACGAGCAATTATCACATTTTAATGCTTTTTTTCTGAGACGGGGAAATCCGGGAGAGATTTGGGACGCACTTTTTGTGAAATGAAAATAAATTTCCGTTCACTTCAAATGAAACACTCAGTATGCTTCGCTCTGTGGTTCCTAATTGGAAGTGTACCTGGCTAACTCATGCAGGAGCAGAGGTTCCTCAGAAATTTAGCAGAAAAGTGCGAGTACATATGAAGCACTGGAGCACTCTAAAGGAATCGAAAACCTCGCATTAGACGGAAAGCTAGCCACGCGCTGCTTTTCAGAGTTACAGTTGCTGTCAGTCCTCGTCTTTCACGACCATCGTCGCGATAAAATATTAGTGGATAGTTTATCTCTTCCCGTTGCAGCATTTGTATGATTTTAATAAAAAGGTAACATCAGTTGCAAAATTCCGAAATCTCAGTAAACAGCGGAATTGGCAAGCAAGTTCCACTTCCTGGCGTATGCAACTGCATTACTTCGTCTTTATTGTCTCCTTCCACTGACTTTCAAGTTTCATTTGCCCTTTTTAAATGTCATCTTCTTTGTTATCTTTGCCTTTCTTATCTCTCTCAGTATTGTCCTCCTTTTTACGCTCCTCCTTACAATAACACATTACTCACTTCACGGCCACATTTCTCTCCCCGCCTTTCGTCACGCTATGTTGACGGTTAGTTTTCGATGTACCATTCCACCTCCTCCTTTGTCTCTTCCTGCGTCTTTCTTCCGTGCCTCCTCTTCCCCCTCTCGCTAAATGATAGCATAGAACAGTAACGTATGTGTGGGACTCTGTACGAGCCAGCGCGAAGACAACAGGACGCGTTGATGGCTGACAACAAAAGAACGTTGATTGAATCACTAGATGGCCGAGGAGAAAAAATGGCCCTGGTGGCACTAACGAGGTCGGTGACGCACGCAGCGACGCCGTAGGCCATATGTTTTTTTAAAAGAAGTTGGCTTGACTCAGTACCCTTCAACAAAATGTTGTGGCTTTTAGCGTTTTCTGGTACTACGCCATAGTGGTTGGGGTTGTGGTCCCGGAGGGTGTGGTGGTGTAGTTGCTGTTGAGCTGTGAGCTCAGATATGCTCTCGGTTGCGGCGACACTCTTCCCCATTTTCATTGGCCACGATGTACAATCTTGGTGTTGGGACTTCGGAGACTACAATCGCCGGATGCCACTCGGAAATTCAGCTGTTCAACGCCGTTACTTCGTATGCAGGATGTAAACGCGCTTGGTCTCTTGTGCCTTTGTTGTGGTACGTCTTCTGACGCTGCTGGATCTCCTCGAGTCTTGCCATCACCTGCTTGCGAGGCACTGTCTTAGGCTCTAGTAGCTTGAAGTAGACAGGCAGCTGTCACCTTGTTCTTCTTCCATCAGTCACTGGACTGCGTACTGCAACAGCTTCTCTCTTGGAGTGTTTCTCAGCTCTAGTAGAACACTTGAAAACTCTGCAGTCCCGTAAGCAGTCTTCTCAAGAAATTTCTTTACTTCTTGAGCGGCTCGTTCTGCTATCCCATTGGACTGTAGATAGTGAGGACTTGGTGTGGTGTGCTCGTTGTCCCACTGACTCATGTCTTAAGCAAATTCGTGGCTGGTAAATGGTCATCTATTGTCGCTGATAAGCTTACAAGGTAGACCATGAGTGGCGAAGACTACTTGGCAGAGCATAATGACGGCTTCAGTGGTCGTGTGTTTAAGCGTTGAATCTCAAAATAAAACGAGTAGAAGTTGACAATGACCCTATATTCCTCTACCTAGTGACAAAAGAAATTGATGCAAAGTGTTTGCCAGGGTAGTTCGTGTACTTCTTCACTCATAATCGGCAGTCATTGGTTCCGGGGCTTATATTTCCTGCAGGTTGCACACCCATCGGCCTGCTCTTGAATGTCTGCTCACATGTGAGGCCAAAGCATAACGTTTCTGGCGCGTTGCTTCCTCGTTTCCTCTTCTCCATGGGCGGCATGCAGGGTGCCTAGGACATGATTTGTCATGCTGCTGAGAAGAATAAGTCTGTTGAATCGAAATATAACAACTTCGCACGGATCTCGTCACGATACGACGAGAAAGCTCAAATTTATTCAGGGACTGACCTTTTGTCCTCTGGCCATGTGGTACTCGCATATTCTTTCAGGGTACATAGGTTGCTTTCTTGACTTGCCTAACGATTGATCTGCTGCAGTTTTTCGCTGGAGACGGCCAGCTCCTGAACGACATTTGCTTAGAACTCTTCCTCTTCCGGTACATTTTCTTTCGACAGAGACCATGAATAGGCATCTGCTATAAACATCTCGGTTCTTCGTTTACTTATTATCTTGAGCGAATACTTTAAGAGTGCCAGTTGCATCTTTTGCAGGCGTAATGAACACTTGTGGAGTGGTTTCTTGAAAATTGGCTTGAGTGGGTAGTGGTCACTTTCCGCCGAGATGCTTGGCTGTGCAAAGACAGTCGTGAAATCTGGTGCATCCATGTACAATGGCTAACATTTATTTTTCAATTTGTGCATACTTCTCTTGGGCTTCTGTTAGAGAGCGAAAAGAGTAAGCCAAGGAGTGTACGTCCTGGTGAGTGGATGCTCCTACTATATATTGGCTGGGATATTCTTTTAGCATATGGGCTGGGTTTCGCCAAAGAAAGCCAGGCCCAGTTCTTGTGACAAGGCTTTTCGCACGCTGTCAAAGCTTTGTTCCTGCGCATCCGTCCACTTCTATGTGTTGTGCTTCTTCAGTAAGACACATTTATTTATTTAAAAATTCCTTACAGGCTCTATTACGGAGCATAGAGTAAGGAGGGTACATAGGAAAGAATGCTAGTGGGTGATAATTCTGTCACAATACAAAGCAACTGCAAAGCAAAGCAACTACAGAGCAACTAATAACTAATAAAAATACAAAGCAAGTAATAACATTGGAACTAATAACAGTGGTTGCACAAATGACAAAGAGGGGCTTCAAGCAACAACAAGAATTTCCCAGCCGCAAAAAAGCACAAAGAACAAAAACAGAATTCAAGGAGGTTAAACAATGCTATTGAGATAGATGTATCATTAATTGCTCGCGAAACTTTTCATGATTAGTTAAATTGACAATGACGTCGGCTAGGTCATTCCAGAGTGCTATGGCACGAGGCAAAGCCGATGAATTGAATGATTTTGTTTTTACAAAGATGCGTGTGATGCTTCGCTGATTGTGAAGTCGTTTTGACATGCGCAATGGTGCCGTTAGTGGGAAGGGTGGTGGCCTGGACGCGTGAATATATTTATGAAGTAAAGACAGGAGGGCAACTGTGCGCCGTATGTCTAGATGCTGTAATGAAAGGTCATGTTTTATTTGTGTGACGCTCGAGGGGCGACTGTAAATACGTGAAATGGACCGTGCCGCCCTGTTTTGCACAGCTTCTAGCTGGTTAATGAGATAGGCTTGAAAGGGGGACCATATGGGTGATGCAAATTCCAGCTGTGGGCGAACAAAGGTTAAGTAAGCTTGTTTGCGGAGGTTATTTGGCGCGTTTCGTAGGTTTCGACGTAAGTATCCCAGTGTTCTTGATGCGTTTGCAGATATGTAGGTTACATGTGCCGCCCAAGTAAGATTGGAAGTGAATTGAACGCCGAGGTACTTATACAAAGACGACCGTGACACGTTGGAATTATTTATGGAATAATCAAATTCAACAGTTAATTTTTTCGACTAAAGGAGATTACATATCATTTTGATAAATTTAAAGTCATTTGCCATGCACCACACCAGTTGTTAATGAGATTAAGGTCTTTTTGGAGAGCAAGGTGGTCATCGGTACTAGTTATAGAACGGTATCTAATGCAATCGTCAGCAAAAAGCCGTATTGACGAAGAAATATTAGTTGGAAGATCATTAATGTAGATTAGAAAAAGTAGTGGCCCCAAGATGCTACCCTGAGGCACTCCGGAGGTGACATCGGAAATTGGAGAGGAAGAGGTATTAACCAGAGTGAACTGCTTTCGAAAAGACAAAAAGTTACGGATCCACGGTAAAGTTAGCGAATCTTAACGAAGTTCTGTTAATTTTGAAATCAGACGGGATTGAGGTACGCGGTCGAATGCTTTAGAAAAATTTAGGAAACTGCAGTCAGTTTGTAAATTATTATCCATATTGAAGTGAAGAGAAGTGGTAAATTCTAGTAA